CGGCCCGGGAGCACCGAGCACCGAGCACCGAGCACCTGCTGTGGAGCAGGCCAGGGCCGCAGGCTCAGGCTGGGGGCCACCTGCCTCGTCTGGGGCTCGGTGGACAGCAGGACGCGGAGGCCCCGGCAGGGACGGACCTGCCCCGCAGGCGCCGAGCTGGGACCCGCGTCCCAAGTCTGGACTGGGGCCTCGGGGTGACAGGGCAGAGGCCGGGGTCCAGGCCCCATGTCCCCACGGAGCTGGGCACACGCGAGACTCCAGACACGGCCTGGTGACTCTTTTTATTTTTTTGGTCGGTCGTGGGGCCTGAACTCTGGGCCTGGGCGCTGTCCCTCAGCTCTTCAGCTCAAGGCGAGTGCTCTACCACTTGAGCCACAGCGCCACTTCTGCTTTTCTGGTGGTTTATTGGAGATAGGAGTCTCAGAGACTTTCCTGCCCGGGCTGGCTTTGAACTTTGATCCTCAGATCTCAGCCTCCTGAGCAGCTAGGATGACAGGCGTGAGCCAGGTTTGCTTGCGTCATTTGTTTATTTTTTCATTTACGGTTATTTTTAGAGGTGAGATACAGCGTGGTTACATTTATATTCATCAGGTAAAATGTACATTTTTCATACAGAGTCCTGTTCCCTCATTCTCTCCCATTCCCTCCCTTATTTAAGTGCACTTGGACTTGAATCCAGGCCCTGTACATAGTAATCCAGAGGCCCACCATGGAGCTACACGCCCCCCCCCAGCCCATTAATGCTCATGGGGAATCCAGTACTAGCAGCATCCACACACCTTTGGCTGGGATCAAGATTCTGGAGTCTTGGGGAGCTGGGTAGAGCTGGGACTCCCAGCTGGTGAGAAAAGGGGTGCAAGGACTCCTTGGCGGGAGGTTCAGGGCCTAAAACTCCAGGCCCCGGGGCTGGGACAAGGCTTCCTGTCGGCAAGAAGGAGCAGAGCAACTTCAGAGTAGAAAAGTGTAGCAAGGAGGGAATGCTTGGGGGAGCCACGGGGCGTGTGGCCTCCCCCCCCCACGCTGCACTGCCATCTTGGGAAATATGGTTCAGAGTCAGGCTGGGAAGGTGGCTCAGTGGTAGAGTGCTCGCCTCGCATGCATGAAGCCTGGGGTTCGATTCCTCAGTACACGCACACAGAAAAAGCCTGGAGTGGTGCTGTGGCTCAAGTGGTAGAGTACTAGACTTGAGCAAAAGAAGCTCAGGGACAGCGCCCAGGCCCTGAGTGCAAGCCCAGGACTGGCCAAAAACAAAGAAACAAACAGAAACAACAAAAAATGCTCCCAGTCCCCTTTAACTTCCAGAGTCACCCGGGCCCGCCCCACCGCCAAGGTCAGCACAGCTTCCCTGAGTCCTGGCCCTGCCTACGCTGGACAGAGACTGAAGTCATCTGCAGATGACGGGCCGCGCCCGGCTCCCGGGCCGCTCCCCTTACACCCAGGTTGTGGGAGGGGCGCGGTCCTATAAACCAGAAGCAAACCCATAAAACAACAGCACAAAGGAGCTCGGTCCTTGGGCACCGGCACCATGTGGCCTCAGTCCAAATCTCAACTTGGCCATTTAGCAGGCACGCATCCATCCGCCCACGGACCTCTGCAGCCCTCAGTTTCCCCATCTGTAAAACAGGGTGATGAGGGATGTTAGCTTATAGGCATTACAAGCCTACTATGTGTCTAGGCCATACAAGTCTACAGGACGACTCGAGGCACACCCCACACCCCAGCCCTGGCCCCTTTCCATTTGTTTTTTTCACAGAGGGCCTGGGTCTTGTGCCAGGGCGATCTCCCCGATGGCAACCCACGGGAGCGGTGGCCCGGATGTGTTTGGTTTGGTTTTGTCTGTTTTGCGACGTAGTCTTCCTCTCCAGGCTCTCCTCCAACTTGCAGTCTTCCTGCCTCAGCCTCCAAATGCTGGGACTCTGGACGTTTGAATCCAGCTTCCAGTTTCTCTGCAGTTCTAGCCTCCAGTCTTCAGCCTCTGGCTGGATCTGAATTCTGGACTTCTGGACAAGAGTCCCAGCACCCACCCCTTTCCCCCTGCACTGAGGAGAAGGAAGATGGGCAGGGGGCTCAGTGTCCCCTGGGAAGCCCTGGAGAGCGGGGACGTTTCCAGATAAGACGCAGGAGATGAATCTGGGCGCCGATGGCTCATGGCTGCATCCCAGCTCCTCAGGAGGCTGAGAACTGAGGATCGATCGAGGTTTACAGCCAGCCCCAGCAGAAAAATAATGAGACTCTATCTCTAGTTCACCAGCAAAAACTCAGACGTAGAGGCATGGCTCAAGTGGTACAGCACCCATCCTTGATCAAAAAAACTTAGCAAGAGTGTGAGGCCCTGAGTTCAAACCCTAGTACCAACACACACACACACACACACACACACACGCTATACACATAGAAAGGGAGAGTTGTACCTGCTCTTCAGTCTGGTCTCAAGCAAGCCAGCTCTCTGGAAACGCCTGGCTCATGCCCAGCTGCAAAGCCCTCCCTGGGTATCCACCGCTTGTCCAGAGGAAATGGGGCAAAGCTGCCTCCTCCTCCAGGAAGCCTTCCCAGATGTCACCACACCATGACCTATCAGAGGCCACAGCTCTCCACTGCCCTCCCAGAGCTTGGGCACAGAAGACAGGCCGAGAATGGCTGTGTTTCAGACCAGGGCGCCTCCAGGCTTTCAGCAATGACTACTACTGTTTGGAGCATTTCAACCTTTATTTTTTTTTAATTTTTTTTTTTTGGGTCCGGTCGTGGGGCCTGAACTCTGGGCCTGGGTGCTGTCCCTCAGCTCTTCAGCTCAAGGCTAGCGCTCTACCACTTGAGCCACAGTGCCACTTCCGGCTTTTTACTTATGTGGTGCTGAGGAATCGAACCCAGGGCCTCGAGCATGCAAGGCAAGTGCTCTACCACTGAGCCACGTTCCCAGCCCGCATTTCAACCTTTAAATAAAATGTTTTACACTGTGCAGGGCTGAGAGGGAAGTGCCCAGTTTAAAACACAAACAATCAAACAAACACAAAGAGCTCTCAAATAAATAGCCTAATCATGTAGCCAAACCCCAAACGAAAATTAGTAGGTAACAAGAACTAATAAAAGCCAAGTGCCAGTAGCTCACTCCTGTCATCCTAGCTACTCAGGAGGCTGAGATCTGAGGATCACGGTTCAAAGCCAGCCTGGGCAGGAAAGTCCCATGAGACTCTTATCTCCAATGAACCACCAGAAAATGGAAGTGGTGCTGTGGCTCAAGCGGTAGAGCGCTCGCCTTGAGCTGAAGAGCTGAGGGACAGCACCCAGGCCCAGAGTTCAAGCCCCACAAGCAACGAAATAAAAAAAAAGCATGTGTGGGGGGCGGGGGGAGAGCACCTGACTTGCCAGCACAAAGCTCTGAGTTCAAGCCCCAGTTACAGCGCACACTGAGGAAAGAATGCCAGACACACGGACTTATCATTCACCCTAAACATAACATTTGCTCACGTGGAACAGTGAGGAAGCTGGCTTTGAACCTCCGTCCTCAGATCAGCCTCCTGAGCAGCTAGGATGACACGTGAGAGCCATCAGCGTCCAGCCTCTTGAACGTGACATCTCCTCTAGACTGGCCTCATGCTTCCAGTCGTCCATCTCCTGATTGCTGGATGACAGGCTTGCACGCCCAGGCCTGGCTTCCCCTTTGATTCTTAGGCGATACTAAGAACAAGAAAGCTGACGGCAGCTCTTGGGCGCACTGGGAATTCTTCAGTCTTTCTGTTTCCCTTTTAGGAGAGTTGTGGTTTTTCTCTTTCATAGCAGACCTAGTGTACCTTTGCTGTGTCTTCAAATCTCTCTTCCTCTTTAGCGGACGGGGTCCCCCTGCTCGCCCAGCCTTTTCCAGGAAGCACGGAGGAGCTGGCGGTCCCGGTGTGTCTCCTTGGCTCCTCCCAGCCAAGCTGCACAAAGAAGCCAATGACAATCTGTCCGTCTGCTCTTCGTTTGCTTTGGTGGGGCACAGGCTTGCTCCAGCCCCTCTCCATCCCAGCTGTCCCAGCTCCGTCTCTAGGGAGCTAAACAGACTGCAGCTTGCTCTGATCAATTTGACTGGGGTGGATGTTAGTTTCCCAGGGCCGATGGAACACCATGACTGGGGATCTAAACAGCAGCAAGGTTATCTCTGTCCGTCCGGGAGGGCTGCAGGGGCCACAGCTGGTTCCCGGAGGCTCTGAGAGCAATGTTGTTCCCTGATTCTTTCCTAGCCTGTGGGGATGGGAGGCAGCCAGCATGCCTTGGCTTGTAGCTGCATCATGGTGCTCTGCCTGGGTGCCACAGAGTCCTGCCTTCCGGGTCTTCTCTGTGGCCTCCTCTCTGCTCTCCCCTCCACTCCCCTTTCAATTTTGTTTTACTATGTGGCCCTAACTGTACTTGAACTTGCTATGTGGCTCAAGCTGTCCTCAAATTCTCAGTCCTACCTCAGCTTCCAGAAGGCTGAGGTTACAGGCATGAGCTACCTACCATTCCTGTCCCATTTCGTTGAAGGGAGTTTGTATTAAAAAAAAAAAAAAGCAGCAGTATAATACCACCACAATCATGAGCAATCACCCCCAAATTTTGCTATGCCCCCCATTTTTTCTTTTGTCAGTCGTGGGGCTTGAACTCTGGGCCTGGGCACTGTCCCTCAGCTCTTCATCTCAGGGTGAGTGCTCTACCACTTGAGCCACAGCACCACTTCCAGTTCTCCGATGGCTCACTGGAGATAAGAGTTTCATGGGACATTCCTGCCTGGGCTGGCTTTGAACTGTGATCCTCAGATCTCAGCCTCCTGAATAGCTAGGATGCTATGCCCGTTGTAGTCAATGTGTCTCTCTGTCTCTAGCCCATGGCAATTTCAAATCTGCTTTCAGTTGCTCTGGTTTGGGCTCGAATGATCCACACAGGAAGTCATGGGCGGTCTGTGGTCTCCTAGGTCACCTCCTGCTTCTGCATTCCCCCAGCCTTCTTTGTCCCAGAGTGTCATGGTAGGAAGGTTGGCATGGTTCTGCTGGGTGCTTCTTGCCAAGATTCCATGAAGTTGCAGGAAAATGGCACAGGCCAAGTCTCCAGGCAGCTTCTCCATGCTGGCACCAGGGGCGGGGTCAGGGGGGCGCATTTGTTGCCATTTTTGTTCAGTAACAACCGGATTATCAAGGTGCTTTCCAGTGGTGTCCTGTAATGTGGAGTCCATTGCAGTGTGTTAAAGCTCCATGCCTCGCTCCGCACTCTTGGTCCACACCAGAGCAAGCTCACCCCTCCCTGCGCTTCCTCTCACGGGAGAGAAATGTAAATCCCGAAAGTCTTGGCCAGTTTGGTGGAATCCTCACCCTAACCATGATTAAACCCCCTCCTGGCCACCCTGTTCCCGAGAGGAAGAATCCATGAGTAATCAAAGGGTTGGGGTTTGGAGGCGTGGTTCAGGTGGTAGAGCACCAGCCAACGAGTCAATGAGTGCAAGTGTCAGAGACCCAGTTCAAGTCCTAGCCTGGGGGGTGGGGGAGATAAAAGGGTTCTCACGCCTACACTTCCTCCATCCCCAACTGCAGATCTGGGGTGCAGGGTTAACCCTATCCTAGGACAGCCATAAAACCCTGCTATCACCACAGCCAGGATCTCAGCCAGGCGGCGGCCTAGGCCGAGGCTCTGGTGCACAGCCCAGGGCGGCCCTGCGCTGAATCACCACCCCGCACAGTTCTTTCTTATTATGGTTTTCCTTCTTCTGCTGCTGGGGCTTGAACCTGGGGCCTGTTTTACTCGACTCTTACTTTAGACGCTCAAGGCTGGCGCTCTTCACACGTCTAAACCCCTGGAGCCACACCTCCGCTCCTGGCTTTTGGATGGTTCATTGGAGACCAGAGTCTCCCGCTCCCCCGGGCTGGCTGTGAGCCCCGTTGCTCCGATCTCCGCCTCCCGCGCCGCTGGGAGCGCAGGCGCGAGGCCCGGAGGCGCGGGAGC